GTTGTTGTTGGAGGGCGACTGCCTCCAAATGGCCAGTAGCAGCGTCCTTCACGCACCACACTAGGGGACATGGCTCTACCCCTCTGCAGCTCCTACACCTCAAGCCCCCTCTCCCCACACCGCATGTGAATCAGCCCACGTATATATAAAAAAAGACGTGTCGTGAAACCCGTCGCCACCCGACACAGCCAATTCGTAAGGTTTGTTACGTAAACAGAACGTAGCCAATTCGTGGCTAGTTCAGCCCACTACAACATTTACAATTATTGTGTAGTGAAAAGTGTAGTGTATAGTAGTCTAGTGTATAGCGTAGTGTATAGTAGTGTAGTGTATAGTGTAGTGTATAGTGTAGTGTATAGCGTAGTGTATAGTGTAGTGTATAGTGTAGTGTATAGCGTAGTGTATAGTAGTGTAGTGTATAGCGTAGTGTATAGTAGTGTAGTGTATAGTAGTGTAGTGTATAGTGTAATGTATAGTGTAGTGTATAGCGTAGTGTATAGTAGTGTAGTGTATAGTGTAGTGTATAGTGTAGTGTATAGCGTAGTGTATAGTGTAGTGTATAGTGTAGTATATAGCGTAGTGTATAGTAGTGTAGTGTATAGCGTAGTGTATAGTAGTGTAGTGTATAGTGTAGTGTATAGTGTAGTGTATAGCGTAGTGTATAGTAGTGTAGTGTATAGTGTAGTGTATAGTAGTGTAGAGTATAGTAGTGTATAGTGTAGTGTATAGTGTAGTGTATAGCGTAGTGTATAGTAGTGTAGTGTATAGTGTAGTGAAAAGTGTAGTATACTAGTTTAGCACTAACTGGTTGTGTGTTGGAGAGTAAACCCCTTACATAATTTACAATTATAGTGTATAGTGTAGTGTATAGTAGTGTATTGTAGTGTAGTGCATAATGTAGTGTATAGCGTAGTGAATAGTAGTGTAGTGTATAGTGTAGTGTATCATGTCGTATACTAATTCAGCACTAACCAGTTGTGTTTTGGAAAGTAACCCCACTACAACATTAACAATTATAGTGTAGTGTATAGTGTAGTATACTAGTTGAGTACTAACTGGTTGTGTGTTGCAGAGTAAACCCCCTACATCATTTACAATTATAGTGTAGTGTATAGCGTAGTGTAGTGTATAGTGTAGTGTATAGTGTAGTGTATAGTGTAGTGTATAGTAGTGTAGTGTATAGTAGTGTAGAGTATAGTAGTGTATAGTGTAGTGTATAGTGTAGTGTATAGCGTAGTGTATAGTAGTGTAGTGTATAGTGTAGTGAAAAGTGTAGTATACTAGTTCAGCACTAACCGGTTGTGTGTTGGAGAGAAAACCCACTCATAATTTACAATTATAGTGTATAGTAGTGTAGTGTATAGCGTTGTGTATAGTAGTGTAGTGTATAGTGTAGTGTATAGTAGTGTAGTGCATAGTAGTGTAGAGTATAGTAGTGTATAGTGTAGTGCATAGTGTAGTGTATAGCGTAGTGTATAGTAGTGTAGTATATAGTGTAGTGTATAGTAGTGTAGTGTATAGTGTAGTGTGTAGTGTAGTGTATAGCGTAGTGTATAGTAGTGTAGTATATAGTGTAGTGTATAGTGTCGTATACTAGTTCAGCACTAACCGGTTGTGTGTTGGAGAGTAAACCCACTACAACATTTACAATTATAGTGTAGTGTATAGTGTAGTGTATCGTGTAGTGTATAGTGTATTATGCTAGTTCAGCAATAACCGGTTGTGTGTTGGAGAGTAAACCCACTACATAATTTACAATTATAGTGTAGAGTAGTGTAGTGTATAGCGTTGTGTATAGTAGTGTAGTGTATAGTGTAGTGTATAGTAGTGTAGTGTATAGTAGTGTATAGTGTAGTGTATAGTGTAGTGTATAGCATAGTGTATAGTAGTGTAGTGTATAGTAGTGTAGTGTATAGTAGTGTAGAGTATAGTAATGTATAGTGTAGTGTATAGTGTAGTGTATAGCGTAGTGTATAGTAGTGTAGTGTATAGTGTAGTGTATAGTGTAGTATGCTAGTTCAGCACTAACCGGTTGTGTGTTGGAGAGTAAACCCACTACAACATTTACAATTATAGTGCAGTGTATAGTGTAGTGTATCGTGTAGTGTATAGTGTAGTGTATAGTGTAGTATATAGTGTAATGTATAGTGTAGTGTATAGTAGTGTAGTGTATAGTGTAGTGTATAGTAGTGTAAAGTGTAGTGTATAGTGTAGTGTATAGTAGTGTATAGTAGTGTATAGTGTAGTGTAGTGTATAGTGTAGTATATAGTAGTGTAGTGTATAGTGTAGTGTGTAGTGTATAGTGTAGTGTATAGTTTACTAGTGTATAGTGTAGTGTATAGTAGTGTAGTGTATAGTGTAGTGTATAGTGTAGTGTATAGTGTAGTGTATAGTGTAGTATGCTAGTTCAGCACTAACCGGTTGTGTGTTGGAGAGTAAACCCACTACAACATTTACAATTATAGTGTAGTGTATAGTGTAGTGTATCGTGTAGTGTATAGTGTATTATGCTAGTTCAGCAATAACCGGTTGTGTGTTGGAGAGTAAACCCACTACATAATTTACAATTATAGTGTAGAGTAGTGTAGTGTATAGCGTTGTGTATAGTAGTGTAGTGTATAGTGTAGTGTATAGTAGTGTAGTGTATAGTAGTGTATAGTGTAGTGTATAGTGTAGTGTATAGCATAGTGTATAGTAGTGTAGTGTATAGTAGTGTAGTGTATAGTAGTGTAGAGTATAGTAATGTATAGTGTAGTGTATAGTGTAGTGTATAGCGTAGTGTATAGTAGTGTAGTGTATAGTGTAGTGTATAGTGTAGTATGCTAGTTCAGCACTAACCGGTTGTGTGTTGGAGAGTAAACCCACTACAACATTTACAATTATAGTGCAGTGTATAGTGTAGTGTATCGTGTAGTGTATAGTGTAGTGTATAGTGTAGTATATAGTGTAGTGTATAGTGTAGTGTATAGTAGTGTAGTGTATAGTGTAGTGTATAGTAGTGTAAAGTGTAGTGTATAGTGTAGTGTATAGTAGTGTATAGTAGTGTATAGTGTAGTGTAGTGTATAGTGTAGTATATAGTAGTGTAGTGTATAGTGTAGTGTGTAGTGTATAGTGTAGTGTATAGTTTACTAGTGTATAGTGTAGTGTATAGTAGTGTAGTGTATAGTGTAGTGTATAGTGTAGTGTATAGTGTAGTGTATAGTGTAGTATGCTAGTTCAGCACTAACCGGTTGTGTGTTGGAGAGTAAACCCACTACAAAATTTACAATTATAGTGCAGTGTATAGTGTAGTGTATCGCGTAGTGTATAGTATATTATACCAGTTCAGCAATAACCGGTTGTGTGTTGGAGAGTAAACCCACTACATAATTTGCAATTATAGTGTAGAGTAGTGTAGTGTATAGCGTTGTGTATAGTAGTGTAGTGTATAGCGTAGTGTATAGTAGTGTAGTGTATAGTGTATAGTAGTGTAGTGTATAGTAGTGTAGAGTATAGTAATGTATAGTGTAGTGTATAGTGTAGTGTATAGCGTAGTGTATAGTAGTGTAGTGTATAGTGTAGTGTATAGTGTAGTATGCTAGTTCAGCACTAACCGGTTGTGTGTTGGAGAGTAAACCCACTACAACATTTACAATTATAGTGCAGTGTATAGTGTAGTGTATCGTGTAGTGTATAGTGTAGAGTGTAGTATATAGTGTAGTGTATAGTAGTGTAGTGTATAGTAGTGTAGTGTATAGTGTAGTGTATAGTGTAGTGTATAGTGTAGTGTATAGTAGTGTAGTGTATAGTGTCGTGTATAGTGTAGTGTATAGTAGTGTAGTGTATAGTGCAGTGTATAGTGTAGTGTATAGTAGTGTAGTATACTATACTCTTTGTGTCTTTCGGTGAAGTGACGTTAATAGAAAAATAATAAAATAAAATCACCGCATTTCGATCGCAACACAAGCAATCGTCTTCAGGTGAAAAAATACAGCAGGCGGACTGCTGAGGCAGCCAAAGGTTATAAATGAGATGGGTAAGTCGGCGGGGCTAGAGATGGAATTTGCAAATAAATGTAAGATCGCAGAGCTTGGTATACCTCGGCTATTGCGTTGCTAGAGATTCGCATGTCAATGTGTTAATGTAACCCCACGACTAGGGTGCTGAAGAAGCCATTGTATTGCTCGAGATTATAGATTAGCATGTCAATGTGAGACGGCTTACACAGCAGCGGCTGTGTTAATGAGAGGCATTCAGCTTATTAAACAATGAGTGCTACCGCCTCATCGCGGAAAAGGGAGCGGCAGCTATGTTAGTGAGACATTTAGCCTGTTAATGTAAATAAATTTAACAAGGTAATGTAACTCAGAGAGCCGGAAATGACTGCTAACATAACTGGCTGTGATGCTTCCATCCTACCTGCCTATGTTAGCAGTGAATTCCGACTCTCTTGAGTTACATTACCTTGTTAAACGTCTCACCCGATCACTCGCCCCGTCACCCACTCACCCACTGACTCATCCACTCAGCCACACACCCAGCCACCCTCCCAATCACTCACCCACTCACTCATTCACCTACTCAACCACTCAGTCACCCATACAGCCACCCACTCACTCACTCACCCCAATCACTCACCCATTCACTCATTCACCTACTCACCCACTCAGCCACCCACTCACCTACTCACTCACCCGATCACTCACTCACTCACTCTCACTCACTCACTCACTCACCCCAATCACTCACCCCAATCACTCACCCCACTCATTCGCCCACTGTTCCACTGCCTGGGAGTTGCGCATTTGCCAACTGCTTCATGAACGTACGGGTCACCACAATGACGGCACCTAAACAAATGTAATGACCGAAAACGACGCCAAGCCAACGTGCAGCAGCCTAACGGCCATTCAAAGACAAAACCAGGTTCTCCGATTGGATGTAAAGAGGCCTCCACAGGGATTGGTCAGGAGGCAGGGGCTTTTGAAGTGATTGGAGCGGGACAAGTTGTGAACGAGAATGGGCGGGGACGCGAAGCGGGACCCAGGGGCGACGGTTTGGATCCGTTGGAGAGGGAAAAGACAGGGGATTGGCTGAGCGGAATAACGCCGAAGGAACATTCGAGAAAGGGGGGGGGGCCTGAGGGGTATATAGGGGGGGGGGGGGAGAGCACGAGGAGTGGGGACGTTCGGAGAAGGAAGAAAGAAGTTGGAAGACCGCCGAGAAGCCTCGGGTCGCTTATTGTGGAAGTCTTCAAATAAAAGTGGCTCTTCGTGTGACTTGTCTTCGACTCGCTACACAAATGACAACAGAGCCCAGCTGCGCAGTAAACAGAAATCAGAACAGCAACAACAGCAACAACAACAACACGAGTGTTTTCTGACGAGGAACGGAAACTATTGCACGATACATAGATCATTAATAATGGTCACATGCCCTTTGGATTGCACTCTCATGGTGCTAATCTCTCATCAACACTGCTGTTGTGCGCACATGCAGGCATGATACTCTTATACGGCGACGGAAGCTCATTCATGCTAATCTCCCTCACTAATCTCTCTCTCTTTCCCTAATCTCCCTCATTAACACAACTGACGTGCTTGCGTCCGAGGTGGTGGGATTTCTTTCAAGCTCAGGCCCCGCTTGCTTGCACATCGCCACGTATATAACCTCCTTGTTGTAACAGCTCTCTTAATAAATTTTGATTTGAAGCTTTCGTGACAGCAGTAATTCATATACTTAGTTCTTTCGGTAAAGTCACGTTGAAGGGAAACAACAAAATAATAAAATATATATAACATATATGGACTAGTCCTAAATAAACTGCCAAATCGCTGCACGTGGCGCTAACGTTTTTTATAAATAAGTAAATGCACCGTTTAAAAATAAATTGATGCAAACCAACACACCTGAAGACGACCGTTTGTGTTATGGTCGAAACGTCGTGAGAATTTTTATTGTTTTATATATATTTTATTATTTTGTTGTTTCCCTTCAACGTGACTTTACCGAAAGAACTAAGAATATAGCTCTCTCAATAGTTCAGCTGTTCCACTGCTGGATTATATTTTTTCCGCCTGTGGACGGCCGCTTGTGTTGCGATCGAAACGTCGTGATTTAATTTCATTTTATACCTACGTGACTTTACCGAAAGAACCAAAGAGTAATAATGGTCATGTCTGTCTATACACCCAGTCACCATCACCCTGTGTCAGTCTGTGTATCTGTGAGTCTATGGATCTCTGTGAAAGTCTGTGTGTCTCTATTTGAGTATGGGTATCTCTATGTAAGTCTATGGATCTCTGAGTAAGTCTATGGATCTCTGAGTAAGTATATGGATTGCTGAGTACGTTTATTGATATCTGAGTAAGTCTTTGGGTGTCTGAGTAAGTTTATGGATATCTGTTGTAAGTCTATGGATCTCTGAGTAAGTCTATGGGTCTCTGAGTAAGTCTCAGAGATCAGTATTGGGTAGTGGAAGGGGTCGGTATTGGGTAGTGGAAGATGCAGAATTGGGTAGCGGAATGAGTTGGTATTGGGTGGTGGAAGGGGTCGACTTTGGAGCTATTTCAACTCTAGACCACACAGGGGTGTCTGTGAGGCGAGTCTACAACTCTTCTGGTCCATAACAGAGGTTTTTTGGGGGTTAGACCGCGTAAATGTATAAATGTTGTGGCCAGGGTCAACGGCGGCGTGGTGTATTCCGCAAATATGCCCGACTGTGAGGGCGGGCACAAGCCGGCGTGAGTAGGTTTAAACGTTGAGTTTTATAAGGGAACCACGGGGTGACCAGCCCCTCCCCACCCAGCCCCACCCTTCCCACCCCCCACCCAGCCCCTCCCTCCCCCATCCAGCCCCTCCCCACCCTCCCCTCTCCACCCAGCCCCACCCCTCCCATTTTTGGATGCATGACGGCCGGACGGACACAACAATAATCCCCTGTGGGCTGGTGGTGTAACCAGGAGGTTCCTACCAGTAAGATTAAGCTTTTACCTTTTCTGACAATAAAGCCGGAGGTCTATACGGTAGGTGCGTTTATTTGGGTTAGATCGCGTAAATATAAACGTGTCGTTAAACCCGCCACCACCCGACACAGCCAGTTAGTAAATGTTGTGGATTTTTCTCTCATTTGCATTGCAAATATATATATTCTTGGTTATGTCGGTAAAGTCACCACGTAGAAGGGAAACAATAAAATAATAAAAATATAAAACAAAAAAATTATCACGACGTTTCGACCGCAACACAAGCAATCATCATCAGGTGTGAAAACCACAACAAGAAAATTTGAAAAAAGTGGCGGTTTTTTAACGTTAGCACCACGGAGAGCGATTTGACAGTTTGTTCAGATGGACGAGTCCATCTATGTTCGGACAAGAAGAGGGGGGAGACAAAAAATAATGGATGTGGTCTGAAAGCCACCTTAAGCGTGTTCAATCAATTAAGACCCGAAATGGTTTATCAAATCCTTCCAATGATTGCTAAGCCAGAATCGATCTTCTCGGTTGAAATTGTCTCTGTGTTTGTATATGTGGATAGCCTCATGAACGAATCTCTCATGGTAGCCAGATGGCTTGCAAAGAACCTCTGTCTTGGAGAAGTCAATGTCATGTGAACCTACTGAATTATAACAATGATCTGCCACGGCCGAGGTGTTGGTCCTACCGTGTTTAAGGTCTGCTTTGTGTTCACGAATGCGGTCCGAGACATGGCGTTTGGTTTTTCCAATGTTACTACTACCACAGAGGCAACTTAGTTTGTAGACACCAGGGTACTGTATGTCCGGAATCACATATTTACAGACGGAACCAGATGACGGATTTTATGTAATTTGTAGAATCCGACCTGGATCTTGTGATTTTGGAGATCTTTTTTGTGATCCCCACAATGTAGGGTAAAGTGATGGTTTTTAAAGGTTCCTCAAGAGGGTCCTTCTTCATGGTTGGAGTGATAGCTTTGCAG